AGCTGGCCTCCAACATCTTGTGGAATAGATCTTTTTCCTGGAGACTGGCTCTTCATCCTGTCAGTGAAAAGATCTGATAGTTTAATCCCTGTTCTCTAGGAAGGAACGTGCTGGAGTCTCCTGACTCATAATTTACTAATAAGCAGAAAGGTAAATGTTGATTGCAACATGTCTAAGTACAGTGAAACATGAGCAGAGAGAAAGGAGTAAGTATAATGAAACATGAGCAGAGAGAAAGGAGATCTGTGCTTGCCTTTCACCTTCTCAAGTGTCTCCTGCAGAGGAATATGAGAGCAGCTTCACTGGAGACACATCAGTTTGCTCTCATCCACCCACAATGGGTACCAGCATCAGGGACACTATGGCAGGCCTGGCTTTTACAGTTCTATACCTGATGAAGAGCTAGTTTGAGTGTGCAGAGTCACGCCCTATACATCCTGCCTGCTGTGGCCCCCAGCTAAGTCAGTGAAGTTGCTACCTGGGGCAGGTGGGGGGGAAGACTTTTCAGTTGTAAACAGATCAAACTTCTTCTGGAATAAAGGAAACACTTAAGTGTGGCCTGAAGTAGGTCAGAGGTTACGCTTAAAACCTGCTTAACCAGAGGCAGTTTATTCAGCTGAATTTTGAAGTCCTGTTATTTCATGTCCAAGTTACCTGTTTGAGGGCACTACTAGCAGGCATGCTTAACACTAACTTCCTTGTACTATAGAGAAAAATACAGACTAGATTCCTGGAGCTCAGCATGATAGATGGGAAATCAGTACAAATTAACAGGACATAAGTTTAATATAGCATGAATGTGCTTGGCTGAGGTTGCTGGTTGACCTTTAAGACAGGGATACGGCAGAGTTCAGTAACTGGATTTGACAGACTCCATTGCAACAGCTTGCTCTCCTAGCCCTGTCGTGCCTCTGCTTTTAGCTAATTTTATAAGTTTATATCTCAGCGTGGTTAACCCTGGTTATGGTCATTCTGATATCTATTAAATTAACTGTTTTTTACCAAGCTTTTTTTGCAGGACCCTTAGAAACCCCTGAACACCAGTAGCAGAACAAAGGCAAACCATGCACCTCAGAATTCCTTGTAATTCTTTATCTCCTCTCCCTTGGAATACTGCAAACCCAGTGTCTAATCCTGCACACTTTTTCTATTGATCTGAATAACCCAGTGAGTGCAGAAACTTGTATTTTCTATTCATGCACTGCAGCCATCCTAACCTCCAGTGTTGTGCTACAGAGAATGAGGTATCCTGTGGGCCCTAATTTAAGCAGCTAATATTATAGAGAGATGAAGTGAACATATTTTAATATCTAGGTATTAGTGTGTATAGATATGATGCCATTTTCAAAAAATATATGGATCACTTGGCACTTACTTGGATATGTAATTTATCATAGAATCATAAAGTAGTCCTGGTGAGAAGGGTCCTCAGGACGTCTCTGATCCAACCTTCTGCTCAAAGCATGGTTAACTCTAAGGCCAAACCAGACGGCTTAGGGCTTTATCCAGCTAGGTCTCAAAAGCCTTCAAGAATGGGAACTGCACAGACTCTCTGGGCAAATTGTTCCCCTGCCTGTCTGAAAACACTTTTCTAAACTGGCAGTTGGAGTTCCTCTTGTTATCACAACTAAACCCATATTGTAAGATAAGTGCATTGAATTGTAGTTCAGCTGCTTAAGAGGGGTTAATGTCAGATGCAGAACAGAATGCTGAGAACCTATGTGGGCCATAGTTGAAGTGCTGCTGACAGGGACAGAGGCTGATGTGCGTAAAAGCAATGCTCCAGCAGGGATATAGGGGCCCTAATCGTGTGGTACTTAATTGCAAATGGAGCTCAGTGTCTGTAACTCAGCCAGAGTAGAGGCTGCTACAAGAAGCAGTGCCATGACACCAGAAGTACCCCAAAGTAAAAGATATGTTTGTAAAAGTACTGACTGGGTCTTCCATACCTTGTTTTTCTAACAAGTTTTACACATCTTCCTCCCCTGCAATCTAGTCATGATTCGTGCCTGTGTCTGGTGCTGCTCATATCTTTGTAGAGCAGCAAAACCAGCATGAAATGGATGTGAACTTCTTTCACTGCTGCCCAAAAGGTTCTGAATAGCAACCCTGGAACAGAGCAGGCTTGTTGGATTCAGTCTGCAGCTGCATGACAAATCTGCCTCTAAGCCTGCAGCTTCAAGAAGACAGCACAGCATCTGTTCCCATAAAAGATAGCTTTTGGCTTGTCTTTTTGGAAATAATGAGAAACTTAAACTACTGGGTTTACATGAAAACTTAGAAACAGGTGACATGAGCTTCCCTCATTTGCCAAGAAAAGCCTCCCACTTATCTTTGAGAAAGGACTGGATGGATTATCCTCAATTTCAATTAAATACTTTAACTCCACATGTGGAGAAATTAACATCTAATTTACAAAAAGCTTTATCCTGGTATAATAATTATAATCTATCATGTGAATCTCTGTTTAGCCAAGGTATAAAGTCTCTGTGATTTTTATGGGCTGTTTTTTTCTATATGCATTTGCTTGTCACCATGACAACTTCCTATCAGTTTGTCTGACACTGTGCACTTCAGAGAAGTTACAGTTAACCCAGGGCTTGAATGCAGAGTACCAAGGAGTAATATCTGAGCATCTGATTTCCATGGGCTCATGCATAGTTCTGCTCTGCTCAAGTCTGATGCATCCATTCACTCAAGTTTAAGAACAAAGAATTACATTTTTTCAGCAAATCTTCAAGCTGCAGCATACTGAAATTTCTCCAATATCTTTCATTCTAATTATGCACACAGGTTTGTATAGCTAGTATTATACCATGTTTGTAAAATCAATGTGTAACTGTCACTTAAGAGATTTATAGCCTGACTTACAGAAATGTCTCTACATTTCCCTTAGAAATTATTCTCTTTACAGTCTAGCTTAGAACTTTTTATTACTGTGTACCAAGATCAGCACTTAACTGGCAAGTATTCTACCACAGAACCTAGAAAAATATTCCTGCCTGTGCAAATGTGTCTGATCTTCTCTGTCAGAAGCAAGTTTTCAATTTAAACTTTAGTACTCAAAAGATCTGTGCATTCTTTGATCTGAGATGTTTGGGCTGATACCTTGTGAGTATGCTGATCTGTGTTGCTGGGTGGTGGTGGGTGCTCGTTGCCATGCTTCCTCACCACCCCATACAGCATTTCTGTTGTCTTGGCAGAGTTTGCACTGGAAACTAGCAGACTTTATCAAAATAGGCTTTCAGATAGGAAGCTCCAGTTACTTGAAGGATGGATTTGCAGGACAAAGAGTTGAAAAATTTATCTGGGCTTTGTTTAGCCGTATCTGAAAGTGCTCCAGTGTTAGAGGTGAAACAGTGTTAGAGGGGACAACTGTAATCCTGCCAGAGATTAAGGGCAAAATTTCCTAATTAAACGTGAATGGCTAGACCTCTAACAGTGATGTTTATTGCCAATTGTTTGGCAAGACTGTGGTTATTTCCCTGTCAACCTCAAAAGAAAACCCTTGACCACAAATTGTCTTAAACAGAAATATTCATGCTTAGCTTATGTAGTGAGCCTAATGGTAGATGGAGGTATTAGTCTACTGCACAGAGCAGTAGTACTGCTTTCACTTATTGCATTGATTCTGCATGTTCCAGCTGCAGTGTCTCTGAACATACATTATGCATATTACATCCGTTTCTGTGTGTAAAGTCTTGCATATTTGGTTTCTTGAAGAGTTGTAAAGGGTAACCTGAAAGATGCACAGGAATATTCTCTTTTCCTAAACAAAATATCTCAACTATCTTAAAAAGAAATTTGTTACCCTTGGCTGCATTATCTAATCTGAAAGGCATGTAGAAAAGTAACAACTCTTAAGTATTTCCATCATAGAAAGAGATGCTTGTTCCAGCTTTTGCTAAAAGGCCACTGGAAATACCTTATTTGAATCGCAATCCTTGAGATGGGCTATTTCTTCTGTTTTGCCATTGAAATAAAGCCTTCCAGGAGCTCTCTAGACCTCATCACTGTAAAATCTCACAGTAAGATGATAAGAAAGTTGAGTTTTGTATCACCTAACAGAAAAACAAGGCACAAAACAACGAAGGGGGTGGGTGAGGTGGGAGAAATGAGAGAAAACTCTCTCTTAGGGAGTTTACTGGCATTTATTATTTTTACAAGTGCTGGCTGAAGTTTCATTCAGAAATGTCTGTATGACCTACAAGACTAATACACTTGTGACAAACTTGTTCAGCACTACAAACAGCGGGGATTTGTTAGAACCAAAACTATGATCTCAGCTGGTTGTGCTACTGATGAGATTTTAACTTTTGGAATCCGTGCAAGCAAATGAAAACAAATTAAGATCTATTAAATTATATACTTTTTGAATACAGTTATATTAATGAAATGGCTAAGGAAACCATTGGAGATACATCCCAGTGTACTCTAGTAAGCCAGAATCCACTGGACTGTTTTAATGTACTACTGCCAGTAACAAAATGTATGACTTGACAGTGCCTTTAGAGTGATAAAAATGCAGTTCCAAGTAGTTAATGATCAGATGGAGTCAAAGTACTATTTTGAAAAATAACCAGAAAATGTTTTGTTACCAGTAACAACAAATTCGAACATGGGCCTTAGCCTGAGGGAAAAAAATAAAAAAAAATTAAAAAAAAATAAAATTAGTAATCCTAAGGGCACATGCATAAATTAATGCGTCTGCATTTTCAATAAATGTTTGGTAACTTCTTTATTTACCAGTAGGTGTCACTGGAGTCCAGCAGAGAGCTATTACTACTTCTAAATCTCTTCTGCTTAATCGAACCTTTATTTCATAGAGAAACATTTGGTATTTGTACATTTTAAAGTACATACAATAAAAATTAAGAACTGTGGTCAATGCTCTTTCAAATATGTTTTTTTTTTCCTGTCTCAGCTACTGATGACTGTTGGTTTAAATGCTGCATAATTCAATGGATTGAGAAAGAATTCTGATTTTTTTTTCTCTGCAGTATGCCTGAATCTGGTCCAAGCTGATAATGACCAAAGTGATTATTCGATGAAAAGGTGATGCCAATTAGCAATGCCTGTATGATTACTAGCCCTTGCCCAAGGTTCCATTTGGGGAGGAGGGGAATGGAAAATCAAGCTAAAAGACCTAAATGTCCTTTTTTTTTTTTTTCCCACCTATACTGAAAACTACAGGGAGCCTGGGAACTGAAGGGGACAGGAAGGACCTGGAAGCCACAAAGCAGTTCTCTGCAAGACTGAGAAAGCATTTAAGGAAGAAAACTGATGGATGCTCCACTTTGGTGTCTGTAGGTTCCTACCTCTGGAAATGAGCAGTATGGTCTTGCTGACAGATATTTTTTTCATTCAGTCTTAAATTTAAATTCCAAGAATACAAAGAATCTATATAATCATGTCCTATTAGTACTTTATTATATGAATATTTCTCTGAAGATCTGGATCTTGCTTCCTATGCCTTACATTAGGAAAAGCAGTACTGTGATGAACAAGACTGCTTAGGACTGAGCTGATGTAGAGCACAGAATGATGTTTTCCTATTTTAATGAACTGTCTGCTATGTGTTTGCTAGACAGGTGATCAGCAAAGGTATTTTGATTGAAACGTACTTTCAGGTACGCTCAGATATTTGCTATCTGAAAGGCACAAAAAAGCACCAAACAGACACCTGTTGTTACTACATAATGCTCAAGCCACTTGATGTCATACATTGAAAGATAAAGGGGAGTTAGGTTTTGTTTTCATCTAGGCATGGTAAAAGGCTTATTCTTTATGAAAACCACCAGGGAGACATTTTGAGTTAGTTGAAGCAGTCCTAGTGTGAGCCTAAGCTCTTGCATCAGTACATTCCTCCAATCTCTTTGAAATATTTACCAAGAAATGACTGAACTAGACAGTAAACATTTATCTCAGAAATTCAAGATCACACATCCAATAGGAAAGTGCAGCATAAAAAGCTGCTGTAGGCCAATGTATAATTAGAATAATAATGTTCTTTTGGACAGTAAATGCACTGCTTGTTCCATTGCCTTTACACTAGGCTAGATGCGGTAATGAGCCATTTGTTTGATATATCTAAAGATCTGGTCAACACACAGGTTGTTTTTAGCCTTTTGTTATCTCACTTAAATACATTTCTGAAGTACTCTGCCACCACTCATTTGCCCACTCTTTACTGCATGCTGTAGGATGATCTTTGACCATTTCACAGAACACGGTTATGCTGTACACAGTGAACCTTGTTAAATGTGGACAGGATTGCAGAACTGGCACAATGTACGGCCCTGGATGTACCAGGCTTTTGTGTAAGAGGCAGAAGACACTGCGGCTTTCTTCATGGTACTGCACTGTAATTTGAATAAAGGTGAAAGTAATTTGTTCAGGGCTGTATTCTGGCAGGAAACTAATGAAGTCACTAGCTGATATTGTCTTGCCTTCTAGCTTCCCATGAGGAAATCGTAATTTAATGATTTTTTAAAATTTTCATTTTATCAGCTTAATTTGCTAGATAGTACATTAATTCTGCCATGACCTTCAGGGATACGTCCATCCAGTCCTCCTTAGTCCCACAAGTTTTAATTCTCTGTGGATTTTCTTTTCCAGTTGTAGTTTATGTTGCTGTTATTTGTATCACTACGTATGACCCTCAAAGGCCACACATACTGTGCAGCTTAGTTGTTTGATCTGATATTGCTATGGTTTAATGTTTGCAACTGCTGTGGAAGTGCTTAGTTACTGGCCAAGTTCTACTCTTCCTAAGAAATAGAAACAAGTACATTTACAACAAAAATGTTGTAAATAAAAACTCAAAGGGGAAGTGAATTACAGCATCTGCACACACGACACACACAAACCTAATAAAGCTAAGAAGACAAAGGAACATAATATGTAAGTTTTGGTCATGTACATGCCCTTTTTAACTGTCGAAGGAAGCAAAATAAGCAACAGGAATGACTGCTACCCTGTTGCTGGAGGAGAAATTGAATAGGACAATGACAGTCCCACCAATGAACTGTTTATAAGAACAGTTAACACAGCAATTGCTTGTTGCATTCCCCAGCAAGTACTGTGTTGGTACATTTTGGTAGCTTTCCTTAAGGGCTGCCACCATGAATACAGACATAAATTCAATAATAATGTGAAACAGTAAGTTCTTAAAAGAAACACACACACACACACACAAAAAAAATCAGGTAGAGGATAAGATTGGTATTGAATCTGGTCCTCCTATAAGGCTGCAACAGATCTCAGACATTTGAAAGAGTCAGCCCTCTTTTATTCCATAACAATACAATGGAAACTTTACCTGACCAAAGAACCCAGACCTTCCTCGCTGCTTTTAAAGTTAGGCTGCCTCCTCACTGCAAATGTGTTTTTTATTCCTGAAACACTTTGGCACATTGTAAAATCTTCATGGGGAAACAGCAAAGGTGGTTACTTTCTCAGCAGAGTTTGCAGAGATAAACTGCATGGCAGAAAAAAGTTCTGGCCTTGACAACTGTAACAATGTGAAACCTACTTTGTGCTTTTCCCACTAGTATTTCACCACAGGTTTTTCCAGTAGGTTTGCAGGCTGATTACCCAAGGAAAAAAACTGCACAGCACAACCACTGAGAATTTAGCTGTAGGTGAATGACTACTGTTGCCTCATCGAGTAAAACTAGTCTTTCCAGAAGCTTTTATATTGCAGAGATGGAGATGAAGCTGCCTCTCACCTGATTGCAAAAGATGGGTGTGCAGGCAAAGAGAACGTGGAGTGGTGCAACTTTTCCTGCTAGCTGCCCAGGTCTGATTCATTAGTGCCATGATCCATGGAACTCTTTTTTTTGTCACAGAGAACTGGCCCTTTGCTGCACTCCTATAAGCATTCCTTTGCCCTGTCCAGGGGTGCTTGTTTTAACCTTCCAGTTAACTCAGTGTCTTTGTTTGACCACCTCATATGGCAAGACAGCTGGCATATTATGCAAATACTGAAAAACATGATCCAAAACTGCATAAAGATCCCCTATTTGAATACCTTTCAGTCTCTTTCCTCTCAGGGTTCAGTGTCAGAAATAAGCAGTACACCGTCCACTGGAAATATCTAACTAAGAACAGTTATATTTTTGACAGATCAGACTTCCTTGTACACTGGGTTGCAGACCTTTCCTCTTTCCCCACTCCTGTATGTTCTGCCTCATGTTTTTCTGAGAGGAAGGTGTATTGAGTTTGTGTGACAAAGTCTTGATTGGTATCAGGGACCGCCAGAGGGGTTGCTTCTGTGAGAAGCTGCTAGAAGCTTCCTCCTTGATTGGTTGAACCAGTGCCAGCTGTGTCTAAGATGGACCTGTCAGTGGCCAAGGCTGAGCCCATTTGTGATGGTGGTAGTGCCTCTGGGATAATGTATTTAAGAAATTGGATAAACCTGCACAACAGGAATTTCAGCTGGAAGGAGGAGTGGGCATATGTGAGATCAACAGCTCTGCAGACAGCAAGGTCAATGAAGAAGGAGGGCAGGAGATGCGCCAGAGCAGAGATTCCCCTGCAGCCTGTGATACAGCTCATGGAGAGGCAGCTGTGCCCCTGCAACCCATGGAGGTTAACGGGGGAGCAGATCTCCACCTGCAGCCCAGGGAGGAGGACCCGGTGCTGGAGCAGGCGGATGCCCATGCTGAAGCAGGCTCCTGGCAGGACCTGTGGCCCCGTGGAGAAAGGAGCCCACATGGGAGCAAGTTTGCTGCAGGACTGGTGACCCAGCAGGGGACCCACGCTGGAGCAGTCTGTTCCTGAAGGACTGCACCCATGGAAGGGGCCCACACTGGAGCAGTCTGTTCCTGAAGGGCTGTACCCATGGAAGGGACCCACGCTGGAGCAGTTCATGAAGTACTGCAGCCTGTAAAAAAGACTCATGATGCAGAAATTTCTGGAGAACTTGTTCTTCCATGGGAGGGACTCCACACTGGAGTAGAGCAAGAGTGTGAGTCTTCCTTCCCCTGAGGAGGAGGGAGTGGCAAAGACATGTGATGAACTGACCAGGACACCCATTCCCTGTCCCCCTGCCACCATGGGGGAGAGGAGATAAAGATAAGCAGTAAAGTTAAGCCTGGGAAAAAAGGGAGTGGTAGGAGGAAGGCGTTTTTAAGATTTGTTTTTATTTCTCATCAGCCAGCTCTGATTGGTAATATATTAACTAGTATCTCCAAGTCTGTGACAGTAGTTGCTGAATGATCTCCCTGTCCTTATCTCAATCTATGAGTCTTTCCTTCTATTTTCTCTCCCCTGTCCAGCTGAGGAGAGGAGTGATAGAGCAGCATACTGTTGAGCACCTGGTATCCAGCCAGGGTCAACCCACCACATCTGCTGTGATCCAGCCGCTGCTACTCTCAGTGCAACCTAGCTGTTCTCACCCACCCCCATACTGCTGGTGGTGGTGTTGCTGAGCTTCCTCAAGCATGCATATGTAGTAATACTAATGTATAAATAACTATTTTCAGAGCTGTTTCACAGAGGTTGACTAAAGCATGGTAATTACTTACTTATTGTGTTTCTTTATCCTCCCTTTGCTATGCAAATAGCAAGGGGGAAATTCTAGCCCCAGTGAATTGAAATGGCAAAGCCCTGAGTGCTCTGACCCATGTGTGCATGTGACACTTGAAGGACAGGAACAAGAGGAGCCTGACATTTTGCAAAGAGAAAGCAAAACACTGAAATGTTTAGCATTCTAATTGGCACTAACTGGGACATGAAAGCACTGCAGCAGCTGTGAGTGCAGGAAGAACAGCAGGACATCCGCTTCTGCATCCCTTCTCACCTGGACAAAGGGCAAGTGAAGAAGTACTATAGGAAGCGGGAAAGAACTTGGGAGGCAAATAGTGACTTGTGTGAGATGCAGAAGAATGGCAAGGGAGAAGCTGCAGAGTAGACTGAGTGGCCACTGGTGTTCATGGTTCTGAGGGGAGCAGTCTGGCCATGATGAGTAAAGGAGAGAGCCTTCCTGTGAATTACGCTTTGCTGCTTGGGAAGCAGGGCAATCAGTTATTGAGCTTATTCTCCTTTTGTGGAAAAAAGAGTGGAGCAAGAATATATTCTGCTGTTAATTTATGTACTTGATATGAAGGATACTTTGTGCTATGGTCCTTTTAAAGTCTGTCTGTAGCTCCCTTTAAGCTGATACTACTGTCAAATGCTAGTTTTTGTTCATGAGGCAGCACTGAGAAGCCTTCCTGACAGCTTCTGGAAGGTTGTTGTGACTGTCTACATCTCCCCACAGAGTTTCTGCTGCATGGGAAATCTTCCATTTTCTTTCGGAAAAAACTGACACAGTTTAATATGTTCTAATGGCTGCCTCAAGACAACTATGTGAAAAGCTCTGTACTAGGCTACAGCTCATTTTGAAAAGTCTGTGTTGCTCCCTGCACAGAGATCTGGGAACAGAACCTCAGAAAGCGAATGGGAGGGTGCTGGAGTGCATTAAGATGTGATGCACCCAAGTATCTCTTCTATCCTTCTTGTATATTCCTTTTGCTGTTATACTTTGATCTCCTCTGTCTCCAGCTTTGATGTATTTGAGCTGTGTTTTTCAGTGGTTTCACTGTAAAAGAGCAAAGATGCTAGTTTCTCTTGCAGGGAGGAGTGGAATGGAATGCAACAGGATGCTGCAGGACTCACTTTGGCTTTCCCAGAAAAGTTTTTAAGATGGAAAATCTAAAGTTGTAAGATGGCTGCTTACTTCCCACTGCTCTCTCATGGAAAAATGCCAAACTAGAGTGCTTCATATGCTCCTTTTTTTTTGTGAAGGGTTTTGTGAGGTTGGGTTTTGTCAACTATAAATAATAGAATTCCACAAAAAATATAAGATTCCTGTTGAATTCCACCCTCTCTGAGAATTAAATTTAACTATTGCCAAACATAGATGGGATTTGGCTTTTATTTGCTGTCTTGGTACTTGCATATTTGAGGTAAGCCAGATGAAATTAGCAAAGCTTAACATGTCAATTTCCAAGCTCATTAAGTTACCAGATGTAAAATTTTCAGAAGTGTATTAAGTCAGGTGCAGAAAACTGTTCCATCCTTTTGTTGTTCTTGAACATAACAAAGTTTGTTTTCCATCAGCACCTAAGTAGAAGATTTTATTGGACTTGTAGGCTTCTGCTGATACCCAAGATAGGACACGAAGCACCTAAATTAGTTTAATTAATCCTCTGTTAGTTATGTGAAATTCCATCATGATCATGAATCTGCAGTGTTTCAGATGACTATGGAGATTCTACAAAGACTGAAAATATTGTTGGAAATATGAAGCCAGCCCAGGGGGTATAGGGTGTGTGAGAGCTTCCAAATGACAATTACTGTCACTGTACTGCAGAATTCTCTAAATTACTGTTTAAATCACTTATATAGCTGTGCCTTTAAGTTAGAAACATATTTAATTTCAGCTCTTATTAACCTTCTATCCAAATAGAAACTATTTCCAAACAGTTTCTTGGTGTCCCTTCCTTACTCTGGCCATACTCTTCACATTCTCTGGTTCTCAGGACAAAGGCGTTTTTCTTTATGTTGTAAAGAACTCTACAGAGCCTGACATTATTTTCAGCCCTCAGAGTACTGTTTCTTCCTGTTTGTCTAACAGATCAGTCAGTTACCGAAAACAACTTTTAGACTCAAACAGTATGCAAAACTCAAACTGGCTTAGCTATCCATTTTGCTCTTGAAGTTTAAATGAGCTCATTAGTAGCTCTGATGCAAGAATACTCACAGCAGGAAAAAGAAATCTCACTTCTTATATTCAAATTCTGTATTTAAAAAAATGGTAACCTGTTTTCAGTAGCTTTTCAGTAGCTGAGTCAGGTCGTTAAAAATACAGGTGACCTTGTAAGCTTTCTTTGAAACAAACCTCAAATGTGTCTCAAATGGCTCTTGTGCACTTCAGCACAATCTTCACTCTCTAGTTGTATACTGGTGAGTTGTATACACTCTCACCAGTTGCATCGCGGCTTTAGAGAGCACATTCAGAGTGTGTTCTTCAGAATACCAAAAAGCTACCAACACATCAGTAGATATATGGTAAAGGCCCCAGGTCAACTTACTTGCAGGATCACGATCCTGCATTGATAGTCTTGCATCTCTTTATTGAAAGCCAGTAACTTTGCATGGGTTAAAGGTAAAACTAATAAAAAAGTAATGTTTCTTAACTACAGGTATCAAGACAACTCTCACCTCTTCTGTGCAGTGATATCAGCCTCTTCATTTTTTATTTATTTTTTTTTATTAATTTTGCATTTGGCGCCTGTATTTTAAAACCTTTCCTCAAACAACAGATGGTTGTTGTATCATCCAATGTGTTATGAAAACAATTTAGGTTCCAAGGTTTTTAGAGGGGGTTTTGGGGTTGCTTTTGCCCCCCCCCTTTTTTTTTTTCTTTCCTGAGGGCCTCACTCCACTGAAAAATTACCAATCGGTATGATTTTTTTTAATGCACCATTTTTCTCATAGTGCACCCTTAGTTTTCCATTGCACAAGTATTTTATAAAATGCTGCTTACAGAATGTAGAATAGTGCATTTGATGATTGTGTGCTGCCTGTACACATTTCCTGTACGACACAATCTCCATGGAGTGTTTTTTCACCCTACACAGAGTGCATCATTAATTAAGTCTCAAAGGTGTGCATAATGTACGTGGGTGGCTGTAACTGCTCTGTATAAGCTGGTGCTTGTGGAAGCAGGAGCTTGTGAAAGCCACTGTTTTTACCGTCTACACTATGAGGATTTCATGGGACTTCTCAGCAGAGCACGTTTCCTCTCTGCAGCGGATGTAAAGGCTTGAGACTGTACAACCACTGTGAGTACCAATGAAGTGCTGCCATGAGTGGAAGGGGCCGTCACTCCCCTGGGTGAGGCTGCCCGCTGCTGCTTGGCGTAACAAACTTTTAATTGAGTCGACGTAGGGCTGGTGCGGTGCCCGCCGTGCTGCCAAACTGCTCA